CCCCCACCTTCCCTCCCTCCCCGCTGCATGGACCTCCTCGTCCCGCGCGCGTGCACGCGCAATAGCATCGCGGCCGTTCGTTCGTTTGTTTGTGCGGGCGGACATGCTTGTTAGTTGGCTGGCGGGCGTGGTGGCGTCGTCTGAGCGTGACTCGCTTTCATGGGTCGGGGTGGGTGCATTATACGTTCTCGACGTGCCGATGTATGTATCTGCGTGGGTTCGCCTCTGTTGTTGTTGTCGTTGATGGGGGGATCTTCGACGGGCGCGTGGGTGCTGGCGTCACCGGGGAGAGGTGGGAGTCGGGGAAGTGAGTGAGGACTGCTTGGTCATGACTCTGTTGCTTTCGGCACGAGCTGGCTCCTAATAGCTTCCGTGGCTGTGTTCTCGAGGGATGTGGAGCTATCATACACTTTCGTTATTGAATCACGATTAAAAAGATTGAGGGTTTCACAGCAGTATTTCGTTTCGATGCTGCGCAATATGGAGATCTTGAGTTTGTAGTTCCTATAGGCTCTGGACATGGTATATAGGAAAATAGGCGTCAAGACACTACAGCACAGAAAGGCGTTTTTTTTTTTTTTTGCCTTGAGATGTTTGACACTATTTCAAGGATAGCCCACGAATTTGTGCATTTTAAGGCCCAAAGATCGAATTTAAAAATATCAGAAAGTAAACAAAAAATGATTCATGTGCAGCTGAGTAGCTTATCAGGCGCTTGCAGAAACTACATGCAGGGCTCGGTTCCGGCCAGGGTGCGGTTTCGCATTCATGAAAAAGCGGAGACTCCAGTGATCGCCGCGGCATGAGCCTAATGATAGCAACCCATCAAAAAGACTTTTTCTCCTCTGCCGTGAGAGAAGCCGGCCGTCGGTGGTCAGAATGTGGCGGTGTGGTAGGGCGGGTGGCGTCATTGGCGAAATAGCGTCGAATATGGCGTGCGAACGCTTGAAAATGGGCCAGAGTAAAATAAAATAAAAGGAGAGGTTGATCTAACTACGGTAAGTTTAATGCATCAGTGAACAAGATGGTCGGCGTTAGTATCTCATAGGTTGGATCAGTGTAAGGAACGAGAGATTGAAAAAATAGTTCTAAGATTTTGGCCGTGGGTATTGTTTGAGCTGCAATGAAAAATGAAAACAAGATATCGAATACATACGCGGCTCTTCGCCGCGATCACATGTCAAGCCGTACCCTTTTACAGCCGCGTCCGTAACTAGCCTTCCATCCTCAGTAGTCGCTTTTTGAGTTCTCGCACCGAGAATGGACCGGATAACACTAGGGGGTCCCCTTGAAACGCCTCGCCGGATGGTCCGTTGAACGCCTAAAAACTCCTCTGCCAAATGGCATCCAGAAAATATACAAGTAGAGCCTAAGCAGCGGTCTCAGCCTTGGAGAGAGCGGCCAGGCGCCTCCTGTCCTTGGCGGCGTCGCGTTTTAGCATGATGAACAAAGCGATGGCGTTGGCGGAGATGAGGATGATGAAGGCGAGGGCGAAGGAGCCGCCGAAGATGGAGGAGCCGTCGGTGGAGGTGAAGACGGTGCAGTTGGTGGCGCACGGGGTGATGGTGGCAGTGGCGGAACCGGTGCTCGTGGACGAAGCGCTGGTCGAAGTGCCGGTGGAGGTCCCGGACGCGGAGCTGGTGACGGTGCTGAGTGTCGAGGCAGTGGTGCTGGAGGAGCCAGAGGCAGAGGAGGAGGTAGAAGTGCTGCCGGTTGATGTGGATGTGGCGCTCGTAGAGGAAGTGGACGAAGCGGTGGTGGTTGCGGCAGCAGTGGTGGTGGCAGCAGCGGAGGTAGTGCTGCTGGTGATCTCAGAGGCCGTGGTGGCAGCGGAGGCAATGGTGGTGGTCATTTTGAAAGATTGGAGGTCGGTAGTCGAAGCGAGCGAAGCGACTGGTTACTGGATCGGGAAGCGAGCAGAAGGTGAGGATTGAGTTTGCGGAGTGAGACTCTGGTGGATGGAGGAGGCATTGGATGAGAGCGACGGCGAATGTTCTATATACTCAGCGGGCAGCCGGCAACGGGCGCTGGGGCTGTGAGCCTGAGGGGAGCTTACTCGTGAGGAGTGCGAATTGCGCAGCAGCTCAGCCTTACCTTGTCGGCCAGTGCCCGTCGCGTCTTACCGCAGCCGGCAAAGGCGGCCGTCGACGCGTCTGCTGCTCGGCCACATGCCGCCCGTTCCTGCGCAAGCGGGCTGCGCTGAATGGCTAAGCTTTGAATTACGCGTGCCAACGCACCCAAGCCACAGCACGCTGCTTGAGCCTCAATATTGAACGTCAGAAGATCGCTTCTCCAAATTGTCCGTCTTGGGCGGCGCGGGGGGCGCAATCAGGCGCAATAATCAGGCGCGATCCGGCGCCGTCAGGCACAGGCGCGCACGAGCGAGGACGGCAGCAGTCGTCGGCGGCGTGACAGGGCTTGGTTTTTCGAATACGCGGGCGTTACGTTGCCAGCGACGCGTGGCCACGCGCTACCTCTGGCGCCGCCATTCCCGTTGCAGCCTCGCGCCACAACGGCCGGGAGGATCGGCAGCCGCAACTCCCGCAACTCCTCCCTCGACATCACCACATCCCGACACGGTCCCCCGACGCTCGCTCCCGCTCTTATGTCTCCGCCCTGAGATCCAATCCCACAGCCCACCGCCCCCCGACACCCGCCCGCTGCTACCGCCGCTGCGCCGCGCCCGCCTGTCTCGCGCGCCATTGGGGGCCTGGGCTGCCCTGCGCCCTGTCGCCGTGCACCCGCGCCATTCCCCTTTGAATCCTTCTATATAGTCGGCCGAGATTCGCCGACGCTCCGCCCGCCTGGTGTCTATCCCCTTGTGCGCCATGTCGACAGGGGGCCGGAATTGACTCCCGTCTAGTGCCACCACGAACCGTATTTGCTTCGTGTGTTCTCAATTTCTTGTCTCTGCACATCCATCTGGCGTCGCCTTCCACACACCTTGAACTTGATACCAGCAGCTCTACAGTGCCATCTTGTGCACGTCTTTCTGAGCCCTACGCTGCGTGAAATCACCAATCAAAATGCCCCATCGCGTCCATATGGTTGGGAGCGACGAGTACGCTCGCTCGCTATGTGATACTCTTTGGTGGTGAACACGTTCTGAACATTGACGAGTCCCGCAAGACGCGGTAATCGTCGAGAACACCAACAATGCTTGTCCATGTAGAGTTTTGGTGAAGCCCCTTCGTACGTACAAACATCTTTCATGGACGAATTCGTCCGGGAAGGTGGAATTATCAAAGAAACTAAGCCGAAGAAAGTCTCTTCGATCCCAGACCATCCAGATCTCGCCAGCGTGGCGCCCATGTTTTCTTGCCTGGTTTTTTCCTGGGGCAGCTGCGCGAGACTTCTGCACCCAGGTTTCCCTCAGCAGCCTCCGTGAAGGGGAGACTAGCTATTGTTTTGGAGGAAGTCTCCACAAATGTTGAGATCTAGGGAGTATGCGAGATTGATGCGCGATTGTGGCTGTCCCTCCAAGCCGCCGTCTACAAGCTCCCTAAGCTCCAACTCCAATGCCATCGAAAATATGCGGGCAGGGCTCGCATCAAGTGCAAGCGGATTTTCAATCTATTGAGCAATCGGATTGCAAGCGGCCATAGATGCCCGATTAATAGGGGTTTCAATCTCAAGCGCTTAAGCTTGCAATCGGGCTTCATACCCCCGATTAATTATAAGCGCTTGGTAAACGTAATTAAATCAAGGGCGCGCTACGTATATTAGGTAGTAAATAGGCGCAGGCACGCCTTACCTTGGTTTTAAGGTCTAACGAGGATCTAAACACCATGCCAAGCATCGTTAACGTAAATAGCGCCGGCAGTAGTGGTGGCGGATAAGGCTCTAGCAGGTGGCACGGGCCTCTCGCTATTAAAAGCCTTAACACTATGCCAAGCATCGCCAGCGCAAGTAGTATAGGACCGAGGGTAGCTTACAAGATTCTCGCCAGTCGTATACTTAATACCATGCTAAGGATTACTACGATACGGTGCATCACCACCACGTATGACGTATGAATGCTTAACAAGCGCTTGTCAATCTATTAATCAGTCCAAGCGTAACCTTGGCCGATTGATTGATCAACCTGAAGACACCTCCTTAATTGCGGTCGGAACCCCGGACCCCGATTGCGCTTGTCAATCAGATCAATCGCGAGCCCTGTTATGCGGAGTCACAAAACAAGAGATCCCCGATCATCTGCACTCTATCGCTTCCTTCAAAATGTCAGTAAGTACAAACATCTACATTCATGACGCAGTTGACACCATTTTCGTGTTTTTGTGCCTTCTCATCACCTTCTGCGGCGTGAACCCTATCAACGATAGCCTTCTCCCAGCACGCATGCACGCATCGTTCAGAGCTCCCATTTTGTAGAATCCTGCATGACTTGGTGTTTGACGGTCATTGCCGCCCCTTCTTCGTCCCAGTCGAGACACGGGAGAATCTATCCTTGTACACGGTTGAACGAAGGTGGGTACCGTCTCTTGCGTGAGTTTGAATGGGAGTCCAAGGGTCGCAACAAGCGGCAAACGCTTGCAAACATTCAAACAAGCGCGCTTACAAGCGGGCAATCTTATCCCGCTTGAACGAATCACTAAATTTAAGCGCTTGGCTTGCAAGCGGGTGATGTTATCCCTAGCTTGATTGCAAGCATTTGGTAAGCATAATCAAGTCATCTTTATACGTAGAGAGTAGACGTAGACACGCCTTACCTTAGTTTTATGGTTTCTGCAGGAATATTAACACTATGCTAAGCAAAGCATCGTAAATGGCGCCGGAGGGGGGCGCCGCGAAGGGGGGCGCCGAAGAGGGGGGATGGTAGGGGCCTCAACACCATGCCAAGCATCGTGGCGTTTGAACACTCGGTGGGGAAGGAGGAGGGCCGAGCACTGGCCTCCTACTACTAAGTATAGCATTTATATGCTAAGGATCGCGCTTGCAAGCGCTTGTCAAGCAATCAAACAAGCTCAAGCGCAAGATGGGCCGCTTGTTTGTTCGATCACCTCGAGGACCCCCTTTGCTTGCAAGCGGTTCAAGCTGCAACCTCTGATTGGAGTTTTTATTACCGGTGCATCTATCAATAGCAATTTGTCAGATATATCCCCACAGACGTCCCTCTGATAGCACAAAGGCCTGAACCTTAAGAAAGCGTAGCCTCATGGACATCACATATATGTATTAGCCAGCCGCAGCGGAGTTAGCGCCTAATTGGGTTCATTCCAGTACATCTTTTGCTCTCGGAGGGCCTGCAGTGGTGCATTGTGCAAGAGCGGACTCTTATAGGTAGAAATATTCCGCAAGTGTCCACGCGCTTGCTATTATGTTCCTTGAGTGATCAACGATTCCGGATTGGTGGATGGTATCTCATTCGTGGGCTTGATCCAAAGGATCTTCCATCTACGGTGAGGAAGGCTGTATGCGCTGTACATACAATGATTGCGGCTAATACACCACTGAACAGCTTGATAATGGCTTTTTACGTCGTAAAATTTGACTCATGATTAATATCACTTGAATGGTGAACTATCGGGCAGAACTATCGTAGGATTCATCATATCTCTCAGAATTCACAACACAATGTTGTTCGGGCCTGTTTTCATGCAGTTTGCTGAAATTTGCGGAATCAAGACTGACGCCAACTGAACTTGAAAAGATCAGCACAACCCCAGCAGCAACAACAGTCATTCGATGAATGAAGGAATCTCAATATGGGGTCTCTACTTCTCCCCTGCTTTTTTCACTTCGTCCCCTGTATTCCACACAATTTCCACTATTTTCGTGAAAATCTCCATCAATATGAGCCAACGAGCAATCCATTGCATGTCACACAATCGTCCCTCGGTCCGAGAATCAATAAACTCATCTCGCACGCTTTCTCAAGAATATACCGCATTGGAACGTTGCAAAAGTCTGACGTTTCGTGGTCGTCAAGGTTGAGTTACAGGATGGTTTACATTGGACAGCACCCTTCAACACTCGTTCATGCTCGGTAGGAGAATTCACAAGGACCAACTGAAGACATGGAATGCCATTGCTTTCTTTCATGCGCTCATGTGAGGGAGCGCGGATACTTCACACATTTATAGGTGCTGTTCCACGTTTCCACAGCACTTCTTCGCCGTATTTCCTCACAAACGTAAGGCCTCTACGGCAGTGCACGAAGGTGGTCCAAACTTGGGGTGTCGTTACCCCAAGCATCACAAAATGGCAATCATACTCTCCGGTCTGGCGTTTAGCATTGACATGGCTGGGGTTGATTGGTGCTTCCCGTTCATCGACACTGCTTGCGGACGACCACCAGCAAACAGTTCCCCGCGGGCGTTGGAATTAACGTCAATGGTGGTGATCATCATCATCATCATCATCGTAACTGTTATTACATACTTGCTGCTGGAGTTATTCTACTGCTGTTGTAACGGTCGAACTTACTCGCGGTGATGATGGGCAGTGTGGGGGTTGTTCAAGTAAGGTCGCCCTCGACCAAGAAACAGTCGAAAATGTTCTCGAACTTCTCTGTTACATGTGTGTATCCCACGTTGGAGTGTGAGGGAGTCGAGGGAGATGGTTGGGACTTCATATGTTGTATGTTTTATAGTGCGCCGCGAAGCCAAGGCCCTTGCGGCTCGTGGCCTTCGCTGCGGCAGCAAAGTGCATGATCGACGCATGTAGTCACTCGAAGGGCGGCGAGATGGCGGAATGTTTCATCTTAAATTGTGTTCATTCGAGGTCTTCTTGGAGTCTCGGAGCCAGGAGGGGTGCATCACTACCGGCTTCTCGAGGCAACGGCAAGACAGCATGTGGGGCCACTCTCTCTGGCGGGGCCGACCTTCTCTACGAGCCAACGGCCGAGCCCCTCTAAGGCTTGTTGTGACAACGGAACTTTGCAACCACTACTATGGGGTGGCGCGCAGCCAGATCAGCGAATAAAAAAGATTCTGTTGATCACTGACTGACGATGCTGTGCATCACTCACCCATGCTGATGCGAATCACTCCGAAACAGATACGCTCGAAACGCCGAAACGGCGACAAATGCAAGACACTCGGAAGGGTGGAACGTTACTCCGTCTCCCAAAAGTGACGATGTCTCCGTTCCTGTCACGGCAATGCGTTGAGCGGCGACCGAGCTGTGCCGGCGAAAAATGCGCGACGACGTCCTGCGAGGCCGGTCGGGGTGTTTCTCTCAACAACACAGCAGCCATGCAAACAAACCCTTGCCATTCCCGTTCCACTCTAGTGGGTATAATCGGAAATGACGGCGACACTCACAAGAAAAAGCGTGCGTGGGCTCTTTCTTGGCGATCATGCACCATCATCCCTTTTCTTTTTTTTTGTTTCCAGCGGCGGGCCGCAGCCCCGGGTGGAACAAAAATGCGGTATGCTCCATTTGCTGTCTGGAGAAGAGGGCGGAAAAGCGGCAGTGAGAATCTCGGTCCTCCCGAATGTGGACTCCGAGACGCTGATCGGTCAAAGGAGGTGGTGGAAACAAGGTGTCGGAAGGAGACATGTCGGATAAAAAGCGCCGTTTGTGTAACCAGGCCAGGATTGGAAGGGGTAAGATTGCCGAAAGGAGTCACGTGTGGATTATTGAACGTGGTGGAGGTGCGAATAAGGGTCCAGATGATGGATGCTGGGGTGGATGCAAGTGTCACGCGTCTGGGCAGTGGATAGGGGAAAAAGAGGTAAGCGCAAGCGGTTCGCAGATGATGCTAAGGCGTTCTATAAATGTGTGTCTTGGTATACAAGGCAGTTCGACTTGGCGTCATTGAAAACAACGCAAAAGTGGATACAGGTGCGCGGGCAGCCAAAAGGGAGAGACAGACGAGCGGGGGGTCTGGGGGATGTGATAGTGATGGCGGCAACGCGACACAGCGAGCGCCGATTGGCCCGGCGACGCTAGTGGACGTCTGTGTCTCGCCTATAAGGTCGACTGTCTTACCGCTGCCAAGCAGTCACTCTGTTCACTTGTTCACCCTTTCCATGCTTGGGGTGGCCTTGGGGTGTACTGTGAGAGTGTGTACATAGCTTCCCCGGTCTCCTTCGGGCCGTTTTGCGGAGGGCCTGACCTTCCTGCCGTTTGGGGAACAGGGCAGCCTCCATTGCGTGCAGCGCAAAAGCCTCGGCTACGGCCCGATGCCGAGTCAGCGCACGGTTGGGAGCGGCGGGGGCGACGATACACATGCAAGACTCGTCGCCGCCGTCGACCTGCCGTATGTCGGGAGATGGCGCCCAGGCAGGCGTGCGGGGGTGCGCCCCGTCGTTGGCGATGGTACCTGCCTGTTCCTGAAAAATACGGCAGGTGCTATTGGCCTGGTCGGCTGGGCTGCACCTGCACCGGATTCCCGGGCGCCGCGCTCTGGCCTGAGACGACCACGAGTCAGACCAGCAAGGACCATGACTTATCTGGAGTGCAGAGTAAGTCTAAATCGTATGAAGGGTCGTTGGCGGTTGACACGCCGCCTAAAACATGCCATGGTGTTTGCCCGCCCGCAGTACTCCGTACGAACTGCCGTGCCAGAATAGCAGCGCAGCCAAGCTGTGGCTGGCGGTTCCCCAGACGCTCGGTATGCCTGCCCGTCTGTCTGTAATGTTTGTTCCCTGATTCCACCACACTCAGGGAGTACGACTTCATCTCCATTATATCCTCGTCTCGGCGGGGCAAGTGAGCTCGGTGGGTGCCAGCAGCACGTCGAGGATCAACGTTCGAGAAGCGAAGGGCAAGTGTTTCATTTCGACTGTTTGTTTCGACGTCATGACAAAGAGGCCTTAAGGCATGGCGCAGCCGAGCCAATCTGCCGCCAGCACTGGTTGCAACTGCCGGCATTCGCTAAGATTCAGCGTCCACGTCGATATGGAGGCTGATGCTAGCGGGGGTGGCTTTTGGATGAGCATTGGGCTATTCTTGAACGTGCATCCCATCGGTCTCGGATAGCGAGTAAGCATGGTGGAATAGCAGTCGGCTGTTGTCTCACCTTGCTGAGCATACCTTGAACGAGCTGCGGCATGCCTTGTGCACGTTGGCCGAGCCGTCACCGTGGTACGGCAGGCATTCGCAGTGCAGATACGGCGCTTGCTGATGAGAAGGGTACACGGCGTGTCTGAGGCCACGGCGGATCTGTGAGGGGACATGGCGGTAAGCTGTGGTGCAGCCCGGGGGGTCGCGTGGAGGACGAGAGATGCGCGAATCAGCGGTAAGGAGAAGACTTCTGGAAACGAAACGGCGTGGGAGCTGGTCGAGTTGCACACGAACACGCGCAGGGCACTGCACGACATCTGCAGCTCACCGCCGTGCTGCCCGAAGGAGAAGGGGAGCAGTCTCGGACTGCTCTGCAAGCTGGGCTTGGGCAAGGCGGGCCCGCTACGTGACGCAACGCACAGCAACGGCGAGCTGATGAACCAGTGCATCTGGCCGGTGGACATGATGGGCGCGGAGTTAACCCTGTACGCAGGCCCGGGGCGCTGGGCTCTCCACATGCCTTGGAACGTTCCCTCATGCGCCAGCGGGCACACCCCAAGCAGCCGCGCAGCGACATGGCCAGTCCGTTGTTAAGCTGTTTCAGGGCGCTGTGCCGACGCGGCGGCCACCGTCGCGGTGCAGCTGGCGTTTCGCGTGAAATTACGATCAGAGCGGGCGAGTGAGGGAGCTGGAGTAGTTCGAGACCGAGAGTTTGCATAAGCAGCGCGTGGCTGTCGGCCGCTCCCTTGGCCGCCCACCCAGGCCTGTACCAGCCTGTACCACGCCCGAAGCGGCGCTAGTCGCCCCGGCCTCCACCCGCGACCCAACGTCCCCAACGTCATGATTCCTCGACGCTTCTGTGCTTCTGTGCTTCCAACGCCCGAGAGCTGCACGACCCCCGGCCGTCCACATCCGCACATCGATGTCCCGCCTTTCCTATTCGCCGCACCCGAGCCGCACCGCGCCCTGGCCACCACTTCCCCCATCGCAGCGCCGCCCGTCTCCTGCCACCGCGCCCAGTCGCTGGCCTGCCATTATTCAGCCCGCGGTCTGGCTCCAGCTCTTGACATAAGCAGCAACTGCCCGCTCTCCTGTCCATCACTCCATCGCCCGCGCAGCCAAGGCTCCGGCTTGCCTCAACCAGCGCCTCTTCCCGAGGCCGTCTGCATGTCCGGCCCGGCTGTGCGCTTGGCGCCAGCAACCCCGTCTGTCGTCATCGTCACTGGCCGTTTCGTTTTGTTTCTACACCCTTGGCCGCGTTAATCAATCTCACTCTCCGCTTAGGCCACGGCGGGCCAGGCGCTGGTGTTCCCCGCGCCCGCATTACTCGTCGTCTCGCCTGCGTTGCCACCAACAAGTCAGCGTGCGTGCATTTGCAAGCTCCTCACCGTCAGCGGACGCGCAGCGCGAGAATCGACGCGTGCTCGGGAAATACCCTGCATGGATCCGCCTGCCACGCGTGGGGCCCGCTGGGGGCCCGCTGCCTTGACCCTCTTGGCGCCATCAGTCCCGTCCAAGCAGCTCTGCCATCTTGCCAGGCCCTGGAATGCCCGCCCGTGCCACCGCATGCGTGTCTGCGTGGCCGCTTCAATGTCGCCCCCCCGCCGCTCCACTTTCAATCACCTCACCCACAGGCCTGCGCCCGGATCTACCCAAATGACCTAAGATTGACCGGCCTCCGAGGCCAAGACACCGGGTTCATGGCTCTGCCAGTGCCTGCTGCCCTAAGCTCCCGGTCCAGCCTGCTGGATTTTCATATATAAGTAGACAGAGCCTCCTGCTTTCAGAGCTTAGTTGGTGCAACCTCGACCCTCCGCAACCATGCTTCTGCCGACCCTTGGACTCGCCGCTGCCCTTGCGGGCTCTGCCTCCGCCTTTGGCTGCCCGGCCATGACGGGTGAGCTTGGTGCTCGCGATGTGCCCGCTGGTCACCCCAACCTCCACGGCCGCGCCGAGGCCCAAGGCACCGACGACTTCATGTCTCAATTCGAGATCAACGACACTGATGTCTACCTGACCAGTGACGTTGGCGGTCCTTTTTCGGACCAGAACAGCTTGAGCGCCGGCGAGCGCGGTCCCACCCTCCTTGAGGACTTCATCTTCCGCCAGAAAATCCAGCACTTCGACCATGAGCGTGTTCCCGAACGCGCTGTCCACGCTCGCGGCGCCGGTGCCCACGGTGTTTTCACTTCTTACGCCGACTGGTCCAACATCACTGGCGCTTCTTTCCTCGCCGAGGCGGGCAAGGAGACTCCTGTCTTTCTTCGCTTCTCCACCGTTGCCGGCAGCAGAGGCTCTGCCGACACCGCCCGTGATGTTCACGGCTTCGCAGTCAGGCTTTACACCGATGAAGGCAATTTTGGTAAGCTCACCCGATGTTTTTCCCTAAAAGAAAAGAATACTGATGGCCGGAACAGACATTGTTGGCAACAACGTCCCTGTCTTCTTCATCCAGGATGCCATTCTCTTCCCGGATTTGATTCATGCCGTCAAGCCTTCGCCCGACAGTGAGATCCCGCAAGCAGCAACTGCTCATGACAGCGCTTGGGACTTCTTCAGCCAGCAGCCCAGCACCCTCCACACCCTTTTCTGGGCCATGGCCCAGCACGGTATCGTCAGGTCCTTCCGCCTTACGGACGGTTTCGGTGTGCACACCTTCCGTTTCGTCACCGACGACGGCGCTTCCAAGCTCGTCAAGTTCCACTGGAAGTCCCTCCAGGGCAAGGCCAGTCTTACTTGGGAGGAGGCTCAGGTTATTGCTGGAAAGAACGCCGATTACCATCGTCAGGATCTTTTCGAATCCATTGCCAACGGGCGCTACCCCGAGTGGGAGGTACGTAGTTGATGTGTTACTCATGCCAAGGAGACGACGCGTGGACGCTGACTTGGCCTGCAGCTTGGTGTGCAAATCATGGAAGAGGGCGACGATCTCCGCTATGGCTTCGATCTTCTTGACCCCACTAAGATCGTGCCTGAGGAATACGTCCCTGTCACGCCTCTCGGCAAGATGACGCTCAACCGCAACCCCAGGAACTACTTTGCCGAGACCGAGCAGGTCATGGTAAGCTTATTTCCCGAAACAACAACCCTGGCCAACAGGCACTAAAAGTAGTGCTACAGTTCCAACCCGGCCACATCGTTCGTGGTATTGATTTCACCGACGACCCGCTTCTGCAAGGCCGCATCTTCTCGTACCTTGACACGCAGTTGAACCGCCACAACGGTCCCAACTTTGAGCAGCTTCCCATTAACCAGCCGCGCGTCCCATGGCACAACAACAACCGTGACGGCGCTGGCCAACACTACATTCCGCTCAACACGGCTGCTTACTCGCCCAACACGCTCAACAAGGGCTCCGTAAGTTGTATCATCTCTCATCTCACTGGTCACATTGGCTGATTGCGTGTCCCCACAACAGCCCAAGCAGGCTACTCAAGAGGAGGGCCGCGGTTTCTTCACCGCCCCTAAGCGCAACCTGTCTGGCAATTTTGTTCGCGCGGTCTCGTCCACGTTCAACGATGTGTGGTCCCAGCCTCGCCTGTTCTACAACAGCTTGAAGAAGGTCGAGCAACAGTTCCTCATCAACGCCATCCGCTTCGAGACATCGAAGCTCACCTCGGACGTGGTCAAGGAGAACGTTCTCATCCAGCTGAACCGCGTCAGCCATGACATCGCTGTTCGCGTCGCTACTGCGCTCGGCATGACGGCCCCCGAGGCCGACCCGACCTACTATCACGACAACACTACCGCCAACGTTCGTCCCAACTCGGACCGCCTCAGCCGCCTCGACGGATTGAAGGTCGGCATCCTCGCCACGGTGAGCGGTGCCAGCGACTCGTCCGTGTCGGACCTGAAGAGCGCGCTGTTGGAGCAGAATGTCGACACGGTCGTCGTCGCCGAGCACCTCGCCGAGGGAATCGACCAGACCTACTCTGCCGCCGATGCCACCGACTTCGATGCCGTCCTCGTCGGCCCCGGCGCGGCCGGCGTCGTGTCTGGCAGCAACTCGACCTCGACTCTGTACCCCGCCGGTCGCCCTGGCCAGATCCTGCTCGACGCCTTCCGCTACGGAAAGACGGTCGGCGCGCTCGGCAACTCGGGCTCTGCGCTCACTTCCCTGAACATCCCGTCCGGCGATGGTGTCCTCAGCGCTGCGAACGCGGAAGATGTCATTGAAGGCCTGACTGTGTTTAAGCACTACAGCAGGTTCCCTACGGATAACTAAGTCTTTGACGAGAGGAGATGGAGACTTGTAAATATATGGCTTGTTTGATTCATGCACGCGGCGGTGCCAGTTTTTTTGAGATGGGCATGTGGGATGAAGATATAATGATCACTACTGTTTTATTCTTTGCTTTCTTCCTTGCCCGTCACACGATAGGGGAGATACCAAATTGGTAGAAAGAAATTCCAACCGCCCTTTTTGATTTTTAAAAAAAAATACCCCAGTGTTGGCCAGCCGACGATAGTCAGTCAACGATCAACAGTCAACAACGACCAGGGCGTTAGTGTTGCGTGCTATATGCGGAACAGAAGTCGGCCAGTCCCGGTGTCCCGGGGATTACATGAACGTGGTCTTTGACTCGATCCACGTCAGCGCTTAAAACAGACACGTTCCCGTCTGACAGGATTCGCGTCACACCCTTTCTATGTACGTACATGTGCTCATCTACCAAAAGCGAGGCCTGGGCTAGTACAGTCAGCTGCAGTGCCGGTAGTGAGTTAGGATGCCTTATCATCTTCTTGTTGGAATACTTCTCTTTTTTTCTCTCATGGTATCATCATTTGCATTACGCACTGTGGGTAGATGATGTTGGCTCGCTTCGTTCGGATTGAATGACGTTAATTCTTTTGTGACGGTTGCTGCATGATGTATTTGCATGTACTCTTTTCTTTTTCTCCCCGCTCGTATTGAAAGTGTCCTTGCTTCAAGGCGGACTTAGGGCTCAAATCCACAGCCAGGCAAATCTTAACGAGCTTTCATTGCCCGCATGATAATGGTGAAACGTGGCGGTCGGTGCAAAAGGCTACCTAACTTCGTAATATGTCGTGTCTATCGCACTGGTCGCGGCGGTTGTAACGCGTCGATCGTTGATGTGCTACCAGAAGTATGTGAGGGCGTGCGAGTACACGAACGATGCACAAAAGGAAGCATCCGAAAGCGAACGCGGTTGGAAAACCTCGAACATCTTCTGTCGCTACCACTAATACGATGTGCTTTTGGTCTGCCTACTCGAAGATCGCTCTCGTTCGGCACCACCCAACATGGACCTTGCTTATAGCCATGTAGTCGATAATTGGCCGACCACTGCACATTTCTAAGCGAACCAACACTTTTTCTTCTTTCCCCCCCACCCGCGCCAGTACAAACCAAGTCACGAAATCAACGGCCCTGCCGTGTCGAATGCTTTTTGCCAACAGCCTCCTCGCTAAAAAAAATCCCGAATCAGTGGCACACGTCTCGCTGAAGGAAGAGGACGCGGGACGGATGGGAAAAGGCTTTTCGTCTTGGCAACAGCCACCATTTCTCTCCCCCGCTCCGCTCCCGCGGCTCGCTGCATGGCGCGAGTCCTCTTGCCTTTTTTTTTTTCACGTCCGAAATACTGGTGACGTCAATGGTGTTCCAGCTTACATGCATAAACGCGTCCGCGAGTGCGTGGCGCAGACAGCGAATTGTGGTCCACGGATCGGTAGGTACGTGAGAGCGGCAACGAATCAGATTGCTTACCGTTTTGCTTGGGGATTTTCGCGGGGGGCTTGTCGGATGGCTGAAACGACTACGGAGGGGCGGGGTCTTTGGAGCTGCATGTTGGTGTTGGGCCGGAGGTTTCAGGGATTGTGAGGGGAAAGAGGGGGGGATGTTGAAAGAGACGCTTCATGAATCAATACGTGATTGATGATAAAGCATGAGCGGCGAAAGCATATGTTCGGGCCTCGGTGTTGATATGCTACTGCCTACATGCGTAGGGTGTAATGTCGCTGATGAGGCTGACAGAGTATGTGAAATACATCGTGGGGTTGAGGGTTGGATGAAAGAGGCGCGGTTCGGCGACATGGTATCATCCGCTTGTAAGCTTCTCCGCATGTGGCGCACGCGGCTTTCTTGACTCGACACAACGTTCCTGCCGAAGGACCATGGCTACAGCCTTCGGCTTCTTTGCATGATCTGCAAGTTTCCTTAATTTAAGGGTTACCCGTCAAGCGTAAATGATATGCTTCACGACCAAGGCTTGACATCTTCCTCCATCGACGTTACTTTTCAATGCGCATGAAGGTCAACACGCAAGTCGGACACAAAACTCATGACGGCCAAGTGCCGATGCCCGCTTGCGGATGTACGTACATATGCATATATACGGGTGGATCTGCCTGCCGTGTTGCGAACACCTGAAGTAAAAAGCAAATTTGGGATAAGCTCAATGAAACATGCATGTATCTGGATTGCTTGCTGCTTGAATCATGTCATGCATTTGAGGTGCCCTCAGCTTATTTCTAACAGTTGCACCCATTACTTAGCGGCTTATACTGTTTACCCTTTCGCCTACTTTCTCAATGCCCACATACAAGTACCATAATGACCAGTTTCCCAAATACATTTCTCGCTCCGACTTCATCAGGAACATGCTCCTAACCCTTAATCATGTGAATCTGGCTACGGAAGAAACGAGCTCATAGTGGACACATCTATTTTGTCGAGGACAAGAACTGAAAGGAAAGTCAGCGCAGTATAACCCACAGAATTAGTAGCGTGAGCTTACCTTCTTCGCCTCCTCCTCCGTGACATCTGACAAGTCCGTAGCTCTCTTATCGATCAGTCCCAGCCTGGTCACCCTGATCTTGTACCACATCTCCTTCCTATCGCCACCAAGCTCTTCTGCGAAAATCTTCTTCTTCAACACCCTCATGAAGTCGTTGAACACGCACGGTTCCTCCAACTCCAGCATCTCCTCCTTCATGACGCGGATGGCCTCCACGGCCCTCTGGTACCCGCTGTCACCCATGCTGTGGCGGATGTAGTCCTGGATGATGGCGGAGAGCTGATTGGCGATGTTCTTGATATCCTCGACACTGTCGGTGGTATTGAGGGCCTGCTTGAACTCTGGGATGGCGTTTTCTGCCGAAAGCTTTACGCGCTTCTCGCGACCCAAAAGGTCTTCGACATCAAGACCCGAGAGAGGCTTCTCGAACTCGCGAGTGCGCTTGCGGCCCTTCTGTTTAGGAGGTACTGAAGGAGAACTCATATAAGCAATGTGTACCATACGGATTTTTCGAATAGAGGCACTTACCGCGCTTTACGTCACCCGCGGCGATCATGGCCTCGAGGAATGGCTGAGCTTGCTTCAGCAAGTCCTCTGGAGGCTTCATGTATTTCGTCAGGATCTCAGCCGGAGGAGGTATTTCATCTGTGGGATGGACAGCGCGCCAGCGGATCGCTTGCTGAACACGGTGAAGCACAGGCGAGAAGGTTTCCTCGATCAGCGCATACTCTGCAGGGTTCCTGCTTGATATTAGCTTATGCAAGTAATCTGCCTTGGGCATACTCACCCATCCTCATCTTGTCCAGCGCTCGATAGATCCATACTATCTATGTAATCACTCATGGCCTTCATGAGGTTCTCACTTGGCAGGTTCTTGTGGGTGTGTATCTCCTTTCCGGAAACGGTGACAATGCGATCCAGAGGGGGAAAGCGATAGCCCCGCATATCCTCAGCAAAAGGCAACTCTGTGTCTATAAGGCACTCGTAGTCTGGCTTGATCTCAGGGGCAAGGAGCAGAATGAGGGGCTCCTTGTTTTCCTTTGGGACGAAGCGGGCAACAGCATACGACTCGAGCTCATATAGAGCGTGGATGAAAGATGACAGTGCCATGCTTGCCTTTTCGTTTGCCTTTTGTGCAATGATGATGTTCGCTCTCGACATTTCCATGTATCGGTCAAGCTGGGCACTCTGCGTCAGCACCCGCCAGCTGCACGAACGATGAAATAACAGACCTTCTCTCCGGGGATGAAACCGATGATGTCAAGAGCAGCGAAAGACTCGAAATCCGTCACGTTGCGTTCCGATTCGCTGATAGGGACGGCGGTGCTGCCGTATGGGTAACCTTTGGCAGTGTCTTCCCTGTCGACCTCTCGCTTGCCTCCTGGTAGACTAGGGTCAAGGATATGGTATGCCATGTTCTGCCTGACTGCCGTAACCTCATCATCGCCGTCGGTGACAGTCATGGAAGACTGGGCTTGCGAATCACCCGGTGCCATATCAGCCCTGAAAATGTACGAGCTGGCTGTTGGTGGCCTCTGCTGCATAGTCCTTGGATAACGTTCGACGTCAATTGTCATGGCAGTATCGTACTTCTCCGGGTCGCCAAGTGTCAGGAGGCCTTTGTAAGACGGCACGGGCTTGATGTGTTTCACTCGTGGTGTCTCAAGCTCTTCGATGGCTTGCGCCATTGTGCCAAAGATGCCATCACAACCTTCAGCAAGCTGCCGGAGGACGCTCTCGTTGTCGGCTTTGGTAGGATTTTTGTCCTCTTCCTTCACACCGTAGTCGGCGTCGTCGAAATCGGGCCCACTGCACAAGTCAGGATCTGAGAATCAAATGAAGCCCGTTCCGGACATACAGAATGAGCAGTTCGATGTTTTCACTTTTGATCTTCCTCGCAATCTCTTCCAAACCGTCGGCATCGATGGAACCAAGGGCGTTTGTGATCAGGATGATCCTCCGCTTGTACTTAAGCTTTTTGCAGTGGTCCGCAATTAGCTGTATTGCGACAACAAGCGCAGATATCGCTGAGACGCGTGAGATGAAGTTGCCTAGTGGGTTCTGGTGTCGTACTCACCGTCGCCGTCGTGGGTCTTGCTGGGGTGGATTTTGTCGCGCAATTCCTTGAGCTCGGTCATGTACATCCTGTCTCGGGTGAGCTTGCGGGCAGTTGTGGCAGCGAGGATGGGAACAATACGGGGCGAGATGCTGAAGGACCGAGACATTTTCGTATCCCTCTTCCGACTCCAGCGGGTTCCTAGTTTCTACTGAGAGTCAGCGGGCACGAAAGGCCTGTCCTGGCACATGCCAGCCGGCCACGACTTACCATCTGAGCGGAGAGCAACGACGCTCTGAAAGAGAGTCTTCCGGCCCGTGGACATCTACTGTTCTGTCAGAAAAACTCTGTCCCAGAGCCAGAGTACTGTGTCAGCGACTCACCGTGGTTGTGATTTTGTCCCAGACATACTTCATGCACCAATCAAGGTCTGTCTCGCTGCGGCCGCCATGCTTCTCGCCCATGGATTTTCCCACGTCGACGACGTAGACGGTGGCCTCCTTCTCCGCCATGGTTGCGAGTGTGCAGAGAATGCTCAGGAAAGCGTCAATGGAGAGTTTTGATGGGAGTCGCGCATGGCGCGCGAGGGACGGTCATGACAGGTCCAAGGCAACAACGGCGACAGACGTGACGGCAGCAGGCAAACGGGTGACGCGTCGAGTCAGGCAGCGCGCGATCACGTGGGCACCCCGCGCCGTTCTGACTCGCGCGGGATCGTGTACATCATCACTCCACCTACCTCTCCTCCGGCATACTCCTCTATACCTCTCTGTTCGCCTCTTGTCCGCTCCAGATAGCCCTTCAGTTCCGCCTACAATCCGCACGATGCCATCCCTCGCCGGCACCCTCAAAACAGGTGCGCCCTATCACCTGCTCAGGTACGTAGTCCACAGCGGCAAAGCTCCCCCCACTCTTCTCCCACCAGCCAGGTGGCCCTCGCAGCCCGACATTTCCAGCCTCGAAAGCTGTTGCAGAACTCCACGTCGCATGCAGCCACCCCACTTCTCGTCCGACCCAACCCAACACCACCGCCTGCAACCACCCTCCATGATCCGCGCTAACCACGACGGCCGCCCGCGCCACCAACACCACCCAACAGCTACGGCACGCTCCTGGGCAGCACGCTCTTCCAATCCTTCATCGGCGGGGTGATTGCGTTCCGCGCGCTGCCGCGGCCGCAGTTCGCGCAGCTGCAGTCCAAGACGTTCCCCGTCTACTTCGCCATGCAGACGGCGCTGCCCGTCGCCATGGCGCTGACCTTCCCCTCGCGCGCCGCCAGCGTCGGCTACGGCGCCCTCGACGGCGCCCTCGACGGCGCCGCCGCCGGCCTGCTCGCCGACGTCAACCGCGGCGCGCTCGTCGCCGTCGCGGCCATGTTCGTCAGCGGCCTCGTCAACTTGGTCTACGTCGGCCCCGCGACCACCGCCTGCATGCGCGAGAGGAAGCACCAGGGTGAGTTGCGCTGGTTCCAACTTTTTTTTCTTCTTTTCTTTTCTATATTGCTTGCTTTTCGTTTCCTGTATTTCCTTGATCATGCATGTCTTGAAGAGGGGGGGTGGATGGTTGGCTGGGAGAGACAGAGGGAGAGACAGAGGGAGAGACAGAAAGAGAGAGTGTGTGGGTGAGCTGGTTGGCTGTGCGGCATGGTGAGGGGAAATGCCTTATCTGGAGGCGTTTGAGGTTAAACGGCCGGGACTTCGAAGTGTGGTTGGCGCTTGCGGCTTTCCACGCGCGTGCTGCACTATGCCTTCTTTCTTGGCATTTTTCCCACTTTCCCACTCTCTTTCTCCACTTTGGAAAGGTTCTTTCTAACGAAAAGCCACGCGGACCAACAGAGACACGCGATGGCAAGAAGTCCTATGACGCGGGTCCCCACTCGCCCGAAATGCAGCGCCTGAACAAGAAGTTCGCCACGCTGCATGGAATCTCGTCGCTGACGAACCTGGCAACCTTCATCGCCCAGCTCTATTATGGCGTTGTCTTGGCTCAGCGCCTGTAGATCGCCATGCTGTCTCCGCATGCGTAATGCGGGGACGATCTCTGCCACGATTGACGAATTCGGGAGATCTGCATGACTGAAGTCTACGAATAAAGACTGGGTGGGCGGGCTGTGCACTATTGTCGGTGCGAAGGAAGTGGAGAATGGCGCCAATAGGCTTATCTTGTCTGATCGATTTCTGCCATCTTCAAAAACGAGATGTGAAGTTCCGCATGGAAATTATCGTCTCTTACGGCTAAATCTGAAGCCTCGCAGGGGGGTTTAAATTCAAAACGAGTGCGTCCATTCATTGAGCATGAGATAGTTGGATGTTCGTAAGGAGACTCCGTCAAGTGTCTGTGTCCCAACGCCTACCCATGCGAGTAACAACAATCTTATCAGGGTATATTGCAGTCTCACATACCTCGACAGCACGGTGTTCATAACTCAGATGATCTGGCTCTCTAATTCCCTTACCGCTCGCTCGCTCAGATCATCTAAGACCCAGTGTTCGATCTTTTCAGCCACCTCGCCGACAAGACGTTCGTACGTCTCGCCCATGAAGAACAGACCACAATGAGCGCTTACTTCGTCATAGCCATCCATAAAGACACGGATCCAGGCTGGATCACGCTGTCCGGTGCGCGGGTCTTTTGAGGGCGTGACACAGAACTTGCGGTCCCTCTTCTTTCCTGAAGCAGGCGGGGCTGACCGCGAGGTAGTCTGCGACGACTGTGTGCGAGGAGTTGAGAGGGAAGCCGAGGGCGATGAGCTCTCCGGGTGCGACAGCGAAGGCGTCAAAGAAGTTGATCTTCCATGTCCAGACGGTTCTACTTGCTGCTCCTCATAGACAATCTTCACTGGCTCGTCCTGCTGAATAACTTCCCTTTGTTCCTCCTGCTGAACGGCCGCTTCTTGTTGCTCCTGATGCACAACCTCTTCTTGCTCTTGCTGGACAGCCTCTGAGTTTTCGTCCTCAGGCGGTAAACCAAGCATTCTTCGTTGTACCCGCATGCGCTCACGCTCCGCCTCCGCCATACGCTGGCTTTCGGCTTCTACGCGCAGCCTCTCCTTTTCGAGCCGGAGCTCTTCGCCTGACTTTTGGCTCTCCGGTTGTTCCTGTTTGGCTTGCTCCTTTTCTTCTTTGGATTTGGCCTTCTGGGATTTCTCCTCCTCCTTCTTTGCTTTCTGCACTTTCTCCTCCTCCTCCTTCCTGGCTTTCTGGGCTTTTTTCTCCTCCTTCCTGGATTCCTTTGCTAGCTTTTCTTCAGCCTTCGCTTTTTGCTTAATCAAGGCATTGCGGTCCTTCACAGCACGCTTGTAGTCTTTGAGGGCCTGCTCATATTCCTTGGTAGCGGTCTTGCGAGATTCTGCTCCTGGGCAAGCTTCTAGGTCTGGAAGTGGAGGTTCGATTGGGGGTTCTGGTATTTCCAAGTCTAAGTGAGACAAGCTTGCGGCAAATGAGGATTGTTGACCGAGAGAATGAGTCGGAGTCAAGTCGTGGTCACTGAGAGGGGCCGGTGAGAGTTCCCGGAGCACTTCATCCTTTGGCGATAATTGGGCATCGTCTTCGGGCTCTTCAACTGAGATCCGTGGGCTTACAGACTGGGAATGACTGGGGCTCCGCCGCTGATCTTGGCCCGACGAAGCGAGGCTAAGATCGGACATCCCGAAGTCGGTGGACTCAACGCCAGCTTGGGGTGTTTTTGGCTTCTTGGGACGACCGGTGCTAGCAGTATAGAAGTTTACGAAACGCACACGTGGGACCTCGGGAGGATTGTGTCCCACGGACGCAACAGCTACTCTCCGCTTCGCCTCATCCTCCTCTTCCAGAGCACGAACACGCTTGTATCTTTTGTTCAAGCCAGGGTAGTCTGCCATGGTACCACCGAACTCGAGATGGGATTTGACGTATTGCCTTCCTGCTTGCACGAGACCATCTGAGTGTTTTGTGATGAAATGCAAGGCGTTCTCCCAGCCTTTCCGCACCGGGAGGATGACATCGTTGTCAAACCGGGGATTGTAGTTCGGATCATTGGGGTTAGCATTGAAGAGGGTTTCGTTCCGCAGGGGTGGGCCTAGATCGAGGGTGCTCACGCTACTGTGTGCAGAAGGGTGGTTATGGTAGGACTGCGTGGCTTGCCCCGTGGGTTGCGAGTTATGCTCCGGAGACTTGTCTTCGGCAGGACGGAAGATGCTGCTCAAACCGGCTGAGATGATGCCAGGATGCATCCCCAGAAAAGGCACATCAAAGTTTATGATACCAAGGATGCGGTGCCGGAAAGCTTGGCCCATGAAGGCGGCTGGGCCGTGAGGCGGTAGCAACACCACCTCGGCGGACACAAGGCCGCCCATCGAGTGCCCAAGCAGGATGATGTCCGTATCGGGGTCGGCGTGAGGGGTGAGCCTGGGGTGCAATCAGTCGTCTGGCGCACCAAAGCTAGCGCCTCGCGTGGAGCTACCGACCATCTGCTGAACTGCTCTGTTGCGTACTCTATGGTATTCCTGGCGCGATACTTGGGGTAGATCTTGGTATGGACCACATGCGATTCTCTCAACGTCACAGTGACCAAGTTATGGACGTGTGCGGGGAAGCTCTGGAAGCTGGTCTCGTCGCCCATGAAGCCATGGATATAGACGAGCAGCAACTTGCGGCGGCCATCCCGGAATTGGCCAGCAGCGGGCACGAGCGACTGGGTCGACGACGAGCGCGGGTCGCCCGTCGCCAGCGTGTGCAACGGATGCATGCCCGAGGCGTGACCGTCGGCTTCCGCATACGGCGGGGGCGCCTCGCGATGGGGTGAGAGGTTGGCGGTGTCGGCGTGGACGCGGGGCGGGGGCGGCGGGGGAGGCTTCTGCATCATGGCTCCGTGGCTCCCCAGACGATCGCGTTCGCGGCGAGGAATGTGACGGCGCGATGACGGCAGCGATCGATCTCACGCCGTCTCCTTGCGGACTACCGGCGCGGCGGGACGTGCTGCTATTCTCGGCATGCGAATCTCTGCGGGCGGCATGAACAAACGCAGGCGGCGGCGGCAATCGGGGTCAGGATCTGCTCGGCGTCGCCGTGGACTTCACACGGCAGCGAGATGGCTGTGGGGAGGCTGAGCGGCGGTGTTGCGGGGGAGGGCGCACGATTCTTCTCGAAAGCCGTCGGCGCATGTCGGCGCATGCAGGGCAGCGCGCCATGACGCAGCGGGCGAAGAGACGGGCCGCGCTGGTTGGAGCGTGGATCGAGCGAGCGCAGCAGCCGTGTTTCACGCGCCTGCAGCACCACGACACCCGCCGGCCACTCATCGCCAGGAGGCGCGGCCGCCGTTTGACCACCCTGGGCTCTGCCGGGTCACGCAGCGCGCAAACACCCATGCTCTTCGCAGACGCACACGGGCGCCGACGCCTATTCGGGGCTGGTCTTGGGCGCAAAGGGCCGGGGCGGCAGCAGGCTGCGTGCGCTGTGCCTGCAGGCCGCGCGACGTGGACGGCCTGGGTGCACTCTCCACGGGCGCAGATCCGACGCTGGCTTCTCGCGTTGATCCTGAAGCGGCGCCTCTCGCGATGCCTGGGACCTGGACCTGGGCCTGTTCGGCGAGGATGGGCGGCCCTGCGCGCTGGGGTGCCCGTATGGGCAATCATACCGTTTGCATACCACTAAGCGCTGCAGCAATTTCGTTCACGCGGCCGGCCCCCGTCCACCCCGTCGACGAGGGCGCGAGAGGCTACGAGAGGCTACGACAGGCTACGACAGGCTACGACAGAGCCTCGCTGGCGGCCGCTGCCGTGCCCGCTTGCACGGCAGGCCGCACGCCGCACGCCGTGTTTGCCTGGCTGCCCGGTCGCACGCCGCGGCGCGCACACACAGGCTGCTACCTGCCCGATCGCGTGCGCTGCGAGTCTAGCACCACCGGCACCCGCGCATGCACGGCTATTCATAGCAGCAATTGGCGGGTAATGAATTGGGACAGGGATCCTTATATTGCGCCGCCGAGTCTGCACTAGCGGCGCCGGGCCAAGCAGCGTACCCGCACCAAGCTCTCCCATCCTCCACATCCGCGCCGCTGCTGCAACGCCCACCACCACTCTCCTTCGCTCGCTCCGCCTCTTTCGCGCGAGGCCCGCCCGCGACGTCGACAAGCCCACCCCCCCGTGCACCGCACCACAGTGCGCGAGGCCCCACGACGAAGCACGTCTGAGACGCTCCCGCCCTTCAAGACTCAGACACGGCACCCTCGAGCCACCTCAGTCCACTTTTCTCCGTCGCACAGCGTGGAACGGCCGCCGCAATCAAACACCACGGCGTCTGCGCGACCCTCCGCCCTCCCATAACACCCATCCCGTACATAAAGGCAAATGCAGCAGCGTTGAGGTAATCTAAAGGTGCGTCGCGCCGATCCTCCACCGATCCTGCTGCACAGTTCAGGGCGATCGAGTTGACCCCAAGCAGGAGCAGAGCGCTGCCAGTCCCGCACCGACTGGCGTCCATTCGTTTCCCTCTCCCCCAGCCCGCGTACATAGACCCATTCTCCATCGACTGGAAGACGACGTCCGCTCTTTTGCCTCTTTCACCAAATCACCACGGACTCTCGCTACCGCTCGCGACCGCCCGCGACCGCCGCCAACCCACCAATCTCCCGCGGCCGCCAGGATAGCGCCCGCGGGCCCCCAGAATCGCCAACATTGCGCGGCCACGGCTCTTCGCAATTCCTACTCGTTCTAATCCGTCCCCGCCGCCGCCATGGAGAGTCCGGCGAAGCGGCGGAGGACCGACCGCGGCCAAGGTCGGATTCACCCAGCCGACAGAGTTGGAAATGGCTTTGGGCGCATGCAAATCATGAAGGAGACAGTGGTGGAGAACTCTCCGACGCCGACGCCCGTGCCGCACATCGACGAACCTTTGTTGCTGCGCGAAAAACGGGGAGATCATAGGAAGCTGGGCTTGCGACACAGGCTTATCCACCGGCAGGAGATTGACCCTGAGGAGGCTGACGACGTTTCCGTTGTCACCGTTGTGAGGCAAATTGATCAGAACGGGAACACTGTCGGCGTGAAAACCATGAGCTCGAGAGCAGCAGGGAGTTCTGCCGGACAGCCCATTTCAACGCCCACTTCGTCCACGACTATCTCCTCGTCAACGTCTACTTCGTTGTCAATTTCAGAACAATTGACCACCACGGCAAGCTTTCCTCAGGTCCCAAGCGTGCCTGCCTTTCCGAGCGACCTTACTGTTCCTTCCGTACCTCCGTACCCGTTTAATTCGCAGTCGACACCTCTTATTACTTCGTCATCATCGAATTCGGAATCTTCAACGCAGACCGCAATAAACACACCGTCGTCGACCGTAGTAACACCGCACACGCCGACCTCTTCCCCCTCAGCAGCGGCTAGCACCACGACCCCCGGAGCCACGCCTGCGCCCTTTGGAATGGGCTCAAGTTGTACGTCATATTATCCAATTCCGTGTCCTTTTTCGTTTTTTTTTATTGATTTCTTGTCTAGCAACCTCAGCAAGCCCATCTGCGCCGACGTCTTCGCCTACTAGCGATGTCTCTGTTGGTGCTGCTACTGTAGGAACCGGAAGCTCGACCGAATCTGCAAGCTCTTCCCCATCCGGTGCGACTTCGTCCCCGACCACATCATCCCCGACCACATCGTCCCCGACCAGTGAGCCGACCTCGTCAACGACCAGCGAAGCTTCTTCGTCACCAACCGGCGGTGCAACCTCTTCACCACTCGGAGCCGCATCTTCGTCGACAACCAGCGATGTGACTTCATCTCCAACCGATAGCGCGTCTCCCTCGCCAACCGGCAGTGCAACTTCCTCGCCAACCAACGAATCGTCTTCTTCGCCGACTGATGAAGCAAGTTCCTCGACCACTGAAGAGACTTCATCGCCCTCGACCGCAACTTCATCGGTTGCCACTGCCACATCCTCCCCGAGCGCCGCGGAATCTGCTACATCCTCGCCAAGTAACACAGAATCTACCACTACTAATTTGTCGAGCACCTCGGAGATACTCTCTGCGAGCTCTTCAGCGAGTACTTTTTTCCCGTCTTCGGAGCTATCGGCATCCTCATCGGCGTCATCATCTGGATCGTCTTCCACATCGTCTTCGCAGCCTTCGTCCTCGGGATCGACGGTCTTGTTTGGCGGTGGCTCCTCACCCACGGATAGCGGAAGCGCAGCTACCGCTAGCGCAAACAGCTCATCGGACAACGACAATGGCGGGAGTGGCGCTCCCACTGCCAAGCTTGTGGGGGGCATTGTTGGCGGTCTCGCTGGGTTGGCTGTCTTGCTTATTATAGCATTGATCCTCCTCAGGTGGTACAAACAAAAGCAAAAGAGTGGCCAACCCCAACAATTGACTGCGGGTCCTGGAGCTGGCGCTGGTGCTGAAGATCCCTTTGCTGATCCATCGTCACCCGGTGGAGCTAGTGGAGCTAGTGGAGCTGGGGCGGCAATGTCACAACGCAGCAGTGCGTTCCCCGTGGCTGGATTGCTTGGGCGATTTTCCGGGAACAAAGAGTATGGGCCTCCGGAGCCACCGCAAGAGCGAGGATTTCAGCGTATATCTGGCCGGAAACTGCCATCCGCTTTCAGTCCGGGCATGAGCTCAGAGGATCCGTTCGACGACGACAATGCGACTAACGACACGTACTCCGGATCGTTCTATCGCGACAGCCAAGGCTTTTATGGTGGCCACGGAAGTCACACGCCACCAATGTCTCCAGCTGCAGCCGCAGCCCTTTCTGGAGCTGGACTAGGTGCTGTCGCCGAGGGCTCTGAGTCGCGGCGCCCTGGCACCGGTAAAAACACGGTCGAGACACTACGGCCCAGCCCAGCGCGCACGCCAATAGTGCACCAGGGTCCTATGGGACAGCATACCTCGATGCTGTGGGGACCCACTGAAAGTCTAAGCCCAGATTCGCCCGTCAGGCCTTCAAGCCGTGGCACACTGGGGCGAAGCCACCCGTCGCACGACGGCTCACGTGGTTCACGGTTCACGGAAGATGTTTAACGACTCCTCTTTTTGAGATATCTCTATTTACTTTTGCGCTTTGCACGCTGTGCTCCGTATAATCGGGTAACGGAGCGCGGTTCAGGGTATGGAAGATCACCCGCGTTTGGATAACTCGATACCCACCATCAGTCTCTCTCTCTCTCTCTAAAGTAGTCTTGACACTGCCTGGCCTCGGCTTCTTCTCTTTCGTCTGTTTACCCTTTCTTGTTCAAAAGATTCCCTTGCACGCGTGACCTAATACGTCCGGTCCTGACTCTCTGGTTTAGAGGTCGTGTAATACTTTTCTAAGCCCCCCCTTTTCTCAAGCTTTTTGTTTATGCCTTACAGAAAAAGGACGGTCTTTGGGGGGCTCACGCATGTTTATACCCTTGCGCCGCTGAGCGCTGCAGCGATTTACTTTCTATACCCTTCAATTCTTCCCGGTTCCTTCCAAGAGCATTCGAAAAGGCACCCCTATTCGCCGTGTTACGAGCCAAAGTTTGAGCGGGTGTTTTTTGCTGGCCTTGTTGTAAATAACGGCCGCGCGTTAATGCTCTGCATGAGGGAGGGAAAGTTTTGTTCATACGAGTTTCTGGTCTGTTCTTCTCAGAGGATTACAAAAAGGGACAGGAGCGGTTTCTGTGACGACCACACCACGACGATGGCGTTGTAATCGTTGATTTCGTTGCCTTTCTGTTCTCTATTTTGTCTCATCACTTCGCTTCATACCGGGCCTTCAGCCGCGACGGTCCGCGCGCTGGAGCTGCTCCGATTTTACTACGTTTCTGGCTCCGGAGGGGGGGAAAACCATCCCGTTGTCCGCCACCACTAACCGCAGAACCTCGCTTCTGATGAATGAGGGTTGTAGATATCCGGAAATGAAGAAGGGAATGCGGGGATGAGAAGAGGAGCATTCACCATAGGCTGCTCGTTCCCATTCTCTCCTTGGCTTTGCCCGGATTCTTGGTGTCGAACTTTACGTGTGCCTTCGTTGCTTCTTTACAATGTCTGTGACCCTTTGGATCCGTCTTGAAATGCCAGCACCCACTACATGATTCTTACTGCTTGTCTCATGTCCACTGGATAGGTTCTCTTCACCAAACGGCCTTCTCTTTCCCTGTGCC